TAAAACTTCTGCTCACTTGACTTTTTATTCGTAATTATTTAAGGTTATTTTTGCTGTCAGAGATACATTGAAATATGTTCTTTCTTTTGCTTATTTTGAATGTTTTTCTTTATAATGAATGTCTATGCAGAGTTATGGCATGAATGGTCATGAAGAGTCTGTTATATTATTCTACTTTAATAGACTTAATTAATTGCATATGATGACTGTATAAGAAATTAATTCGCTTCTCACTGAAATCTCTAAGAACAACACTAGGTTTTGTTAGATCAAAGTATTATGGTTTGGGGGTTTTCTTTACCCTCTCCTTATCTTCGCCTCCCCCCCCAAGCATCACCGGTGAAGCTGGTAGTGAGAGAGCTGTTACGTCTTCAGTCCTGGTGCATTTTGACTGAGGGGAGAGATACAGCCATTAACTAGCATGGAAATTAGAACAAGCCCTTTTCTACCTAACTGACACAAACTGATATAAGCAGAGAGATATTCTTGTAAACAGTACCATTGCAAATGGACAACAAAATTATATTTTCATTGAATAGTGTTATATAGATCTGAAATTATAAACATCTCCATAGGCTGTATAGGTCAGCAAGGAAGAAAATCCCTCATTTGGCATGTTTTGGTCTTGATTAAAAGAATCACTGATCACTGTCTGTGTGGTAAAAGCTGTTCATTCATTGTATCTGAGCACAGATGGAATAATTCTTGAAAATTGCACAAAATCATTTTCATGAACCATATTTTACCATGGCAGAGTTCAATATTTATATTGATTTGCTTAGGGATACCTATTGCAAAAGATTCTATTTTATAAGCAGTTAGACAGATTGCATTTAGTAGGAAGAATGTGTTTCATGGATTAAATATGTGCTCAGAAAATAGGAAACTGCTACTTTTTGTATCTCATAAAAATGGTAATGCAACAATTAGCAGGGTCATATTATAAAGCACAGACTTTACTCTAGCTTAATGGATCTAGGGATATGCATTCATCAGCAACGATGGATTTAGCATAAAACGACATGTAAATGAATTGATGACTGATCATAAATTAATTTTAGTGCTGAAGAAGTAATAGAGACACAGCAAGATGCCACTTTATCATAGTATTTTACTGCTCAGCAACATTTGAGCAACTACTTAATGTTCTGTGTGCATTTCTTTTCTAACAGCTTGAATAAATTTGAGAAATTTTTGTGCCTTTCAGCAATATGGAAACCAAAAAAATCTAGAAAGATTGAAAATGCAAACACAAATAAATTTGGCTAAGTGGCATAAATTCATTTTTCATTAAATGTTTATGAAGGACATTAATTACGGTTGGACCTGTGAAGTGCCAAATATGTATGGATGACCTTTACTTCCTTTAGTTTAATGTTTCCTGCCCCAAAATAAAAATTTTAAAACTTAAGAGTTTATTTTAGAGGTATACATTTACACAGTTGGGCATTTATGGCGAAGTATAATCTAAAGTATAAGACCAGGTCTATTTTTTGCAGTGTGATTGTATTTATATTCTGCATTCAGGCCCTTCTATTACTCTTTCTTATTTTAATGGTACAATGACTATCGCTCCTTTTATTCCATGACTTCCATTTCAAAATCAGTGGACATGCTTTCTTGGTAATCATGACAGTAGTCAGATATATCCAAAAGAGGATGTCTTTTTCCTGTAGAAAGGCTAAAGGAATTCTGTAACTGATTTCAGCAGAAGTAGCATCAGTCCCCAAGGACTTCATCTGTACTTCACAAACTTAAGCAGTCTAGTCCTGTTCCATCAAAAAACCTGCAGAGGAACAGGGGCTTAATATCAGCATGTGCTTAATGGTCTTGCGAAGGAAAGCACATAAGCATACACATACAAGTCTGAGTGACATCATTGATTAACTTTAAGCATGCACATAGAGTTTGGTACATACAGAAAAGTATCTAATGGAATTTTCAAAAGTGTTAGGTTTGTCGCGAGCAGCTTTTACTTCACAAGTGCATTAGATTTTTTTTTAAAAGTAAAGCAAGAGTACACTTTACAAAGAAAAATAGCATTTTTATTGCCTGCAAAATGCCACTAAAAGCAGTAGCATGCGGTCTACAAGAAGCCAGTACCTCTATTCCCCTCACCTTTCCCTGAGAGCAAAGCAACTTTCTGTTTGCATTAGCACCAAGAGATATTTTATGGAGCAAGAAAACAGAGTTCAACTTTTCACAGAGTTGATTTTGTTCTGCAAAAAGCATTTACTGCTGCTGTCAGCAAGAGTAAAATTTACAGTTGCCAGAAAGCGTAAAAACTCAAATGTGCTCTTGGAAAACACATAGTGAGCTGCATGTAAAGGAGACACTAAAAGCCTGTTTCATTCCATTTCAAAATGCACAGTTGATCTGAAAGGGACGTCAGCATCTCTTATTCTGCCTTTATTCACAGAGAAACAAATGTGCATTTGATTTGGAAAACAAGAGGCCAGTGGATGCCTTTAAACAAGCAGTCACCACACGTGCCACGTTAATGCAGCTGCTTGGTGGCCTGAGGTGCCCAGGCTGGGCTCCAGCACTCCCATGCCGTCTGGGCAATGTCCACACCTCCGGAGGGCAAAGCAAGCCGGGGTTTTACTGCTGCAGGTTTTGGTGGGGAAAAAAATATTTATGCAGGGAAACCAAATAGCTCAGGAACCAGTGGAAATAATGTAGAGATTTCACCTTTAGCCACCTGGTCACATACAGCTGTGGGTGCTGTATATGTCTCATAGTAGCTTGCTGACTTCCGCCATTACAGAGTTTTGCCTCTGCTTCCAGCAACAAGAAGTATCACAGAATCATAGAATGGTTTGGGTTGGAAGGGACCTTAAAGACCATCTAGTTCCAACCCCCCTGCCATGGGCAGGGACACCCTCCACTAGACCAGGTTGCCCAAAGCCCCATCCAACCTGGCCTTGAACACTTCCAGGGATGGGGCAGCCACAGCTTCTCCGGGCAACCTGTTCCAGTGCCTCACAGTAAAACACTTTCTTCCTTATATCCAATCTAAACCTACCCTCTTTCAGCTTAAAACTGTGGAACCTTGTTCTGTCGCTACAGGACTTTGTAAAAAGTCTCTCTTCATCTTTCTTATAAGCCCTCTTTATGTAAGGAAAGGCCACAGTAAGGTCTACCCGGAGCCTTCTCCAGGCTGAACAACCCCAACTCTCTCAGCCTGTCTTCACAGGAGAGGTGCTCCAGCCCTCTGATTGTCTTCTCGGCCCTCCTCTGGACTCACTCAAACAGGTCCTTGTCTGTCTTGTACTGGGACCCCCAGAGCTGGATGCAGTACTCCAGGTGGGGTCAGCTGTGTTGACATCCCAGTAAAGCTCACATCCCTACGAGAACTGAGCTATGGTTCCAGCCTGAGAGGCAGTCCCGCCTAACACAGCTGCTGGAGGAGAGGGGAGGGGGAAGCGGTCCGTGGGCAGAGTGCACTATTCCTAGCCTTGCTAAAGCTTGCTGTCCATGGGAATGGAGAGTTGTTCAGGAACAGGGCTTTCCTATAGCTTTAGCCTGAAAAAATGGCAGTCTGATAACAGCACTCTGCTGATAACAAAATTTAGCTATTTTTAGGAAAATCTGGCATGTCTATGAGTGTGTAGGATGATATGTGTATGCACACATGTCGAAGAGAGCATTATGGGCTTTTGCAGAGTTTTAGTATGTTTCATGCTTATAACGTGGATTACGTTTTTGGACTGGATGAACTTCAGTCCAGCCCTTCAAAAAGTAGATGAAAAATAGCAACTGTTCCTAGTCATACCTTGAAAGCGTCCCATCCAAATTTTCATGTGTATTCTATGTTATGTGACCAGTTAGCAAACAGACAGAGCGATGCGAGCAAATGGAAATTCAAACCTAAGTTCCTTTAAAACATCCATAGTCTTATGCCTATGATACTGAAAACCATACCTGTTCTGTACAGTATATGTTTTTATATATCTCTGTGTAGAGTAGAATATATCATACAAAACCCTTGGGCCCTGAAACTAACAAGATACATGTTAAATTTTTAGCACCCGAGTATCGTCCTTTGACATCTGTAGGTCTAGTTATATTTTTATGTTTCAGCCTGTGCTTACATATTCTGCAGAATATGTCGATAAGCAATTGTTTGAAAATGTCCTCAGCTATAGCATTTCATTTTCTTACATCTTCATGAAGTGTTTTATCTGTAGTATCTCTTTTCATACATCATCAATAACTGTTGCTAAGCCTTTTTACTCTCCATTCTCTATGATGTCCTATCACACTTTGATTGTTAGTTCAGAAACTCTCTTCTCAGAGGAAATTCAGTTTTAGCCTTCCCTTGCTGTTATCCAGGCTTCCTTACATCTGTCTGCATCAGGTCGAGTCTGTTTGGAAAATAACAATTTTATGTGTGCTCCTGGCAAGCAGAATCAAACTCTGTCACTCTCTGTTGCACTTAACACACTTTCTGCCTGTCAGACCTCTGTAGACCTCTTCGGGTTCTTTTCTTGTATCTTAGGAGTGCATGGACTTTTGTTATTATAGCCTGCCACTTTGCTGACATTAAAAAGTTTGGTCACTGCGGCATCACAAAGTAATCCATTGTTCTTGGCCTTTGTGGTGTAGCATGCTACTGACTAAATTCCAGTATTCATTTATTGTACTCATGACTTATTTTTGCAGGATATTTTTAATATTTGATGCCACTGTTAGTTAATTAGCCTATCAATTTCATACTAATAAGCAGGTCATTATTGATTTACCAGTTAACAATTTTGAACACAATAATACTTTCTTGGACATGGATTAAAAAAGGCTTTGAAGAACATGACTGACACTGCTACATATCTTATGTACATTTACATAAATTCAGCTGAGCTAACTGAATAGTTAAGTCAGGATCATGATGTATCTCTCCACATGTGTCTTCATATCTTTGAAAGCCAGTTCTCTGCAGATTCTCGTGGGTTCACTGTGCTTTTTTTTTTTTTTGCTTTTTTTTTTTTCCCCCAACATATGCATGCCACTGTTTTTAAAAAGCAGATTTCAGGAATTTCAAGATAGGTGCCTGTGCTGTCTCAGAACCATGGGCTACGTCTACACAACCCCACGCAATGCCACGCAACAGCTCAGGTCCCAAAAGCAGGCTGGTAGCTCTGCACCTCAGCCGGGCTTGGCAACTAATTAGCATGGCTGCCCCATTCCTGGAGCAAAGCTAGGTACTTGGTGCTAGCTAAGTTGCCTTTGCCTCCTGCTCCACTGCACAGACTAGAATTACCCTGTGACATTTACCCATGATCTTTAGAAGTACAGAACACCATCAACTCCATCTGAAGCTACAAAAGAAACAGAATTGCAGTACTTTGAAAAAAAATCTGAACTGAGCGACAGCTTTTGGAAACATATTGTACTGCCACATCGGGTAGCTGATAGATGCTTCATGCATTGGAAAAAATAAAAGAAAGTATACATGAAGAGCAATTAAGATGAACCCTTCTTTCACTATTTTGCTCTTTACATTTTAGTTATGTCAAGATTTCTATATTTCTTTCATGTGCTTTTTCTGGTATCTGGTTTTCTGACTGCATTTATATGATGTTATTATCACTTTCCTCTCCTGCAGTGATGGCACTCCATAGCTAGAAGGTACCATGAGGCCAGCGTTGGCTTAGTGACTGACTTGGTATTAAATCTGAGTATATATTTGCTCTGCTCTTGAATGTTAATTATTTCTAACCTTTTAAAGAAGTAACTTTAAGCCACTAGAATGAACTACTTTCGGTCAGCTTTCTTCAGGCCATTAAAATTGCTCAGCTGTTTTAAGGTTTTGATTGAGAAAATGACATAATTCCAGTCTTGTTCAGGATAGCTCTTGAAGCCCATGTCTGACTTCAGCCATATCTGCCGAGACTTACACTTGTGCTGTCCTAAATTAAGACTTCGTTTTGCAAATATCACGCTAGATACTGATGTATAATAAGTCCAGTAAAAAAAGAAGAATCACATTCATTTCAATCCCAGGGAAAATCTATTAACTTTCAGAAGAATTTATTATGGAGCCCTCACATTTGTAGAGAATATGTATCGTTTTGTTTACAGGATGAAAGCAACATGGAGCAAGCAGTGAATGAGATCCCACTTAGATTTCATAGTGCTCTTTTATACCAAGGTCTGTCAGATAAACTTTGGGTTTCCTGTTGTAAAAGGACATATTAAGTGCGTCTTTAAGCTTTAGAGGAATACTGCTCTTTTGTACCAAACTATGTCAAATGAATTTTGGGGTTCCTGTTGAGAAAGAACATATTAAGTGGGTCTTTAAGCTTTAGATGATCAAAAAATATCAAATGTGCACAACTCACTAGACCCCTACATTTGTTTTTAGGTTCAATGGTAAATGGATGGGGTTCTGCGTCTGATGAGGACCGTAACTTTTCTAGTCATAGATCTAGTGTAGGTAGCTCCTCAGATGACTCGATCTTTACCAGCGGCAGTTTTGCACAAGCACTGGTTGCAGCAGCAGATAAAGCTGGTTTTAGGCTGGATGGAACCAGCCTGACGAGAACAGGTTTGTAGACTCAAAATTGATGCTTTCTGCATGAAGGGTGTCTCTGCCTATTCTTCTCTTACTTTCAGTGAACCTGCGTCTCACACTTGTCTAACATGCATGGAATAAGGTGGATGGAGATATTTTTGTCAGTATATTTTAAATGAAACCTTCCTTGCATTATGTTTCATTTTTAGTGATTTGAAGTAGTGAATAGCACAAGCTTTTAATCCGCACCTTCAGTCTGCTGCAGTTTTCCTCTGTGCTGACTCTGCTATAGATTTACTGACATATGCTCTGTTTACTGTTTCGGTGAAGAGATCACTAATTCTGCCATGCAGTCTTTGATGATTTCAGTTTTTGTAAAATCTCCTCACAATCATTCACATTTCTAGTGATGAACATCATGTTTAAACTATTATCTCCATCCCTGCTCTTCTGTTGCATCTCTTCTTGCAAAAGTGTATTTTTCTGTGAAGTTTTTCTAAGCATGGGGTGAATCGATGTGCTTTTATTGTTAGTAATACAAACTGTTGAAACCCTTATTAATAAGATTTTTTTAAAAAACTTAATTCACTAAATTAATATATTTTGATAAAATTGAATTTTAATTATGCCAACTGAATCTGCCAAGTTAAATGTAATACAGGTAAAGCGACTATTGTTTTTGAAAAAACAACCAATCTTCTAAAATGAATTAATGAAAAGTAAACATAACTTAGTTCATGTTTTTAAAGCTCCATATGCTTTATTTCTAGCAAAATGATAAGTAAAAATGGTTTGTATATAATCTGGAAAAAAAGAATTTATTTGCATTTGCTTAGTCTTATCAGAATAGCAAAAGTAACTAATTGTTTAAATCCACAAATCTAATAGCAAAGTATGAACCTGGGTCATGTTTTTGTTATGCTTTTCTCAGCCGATTCCTGCCCATAGGTCCTATAATGTTCCTATCATTTACAATATTTTACTATTAGTCTGGTATGAAGTCTATCCTTCAGTAAAATGTGTGCATTTATGAGAAATGTCTCCACATGTTAGGGCTGAAAATCGCAGGCTTTCTGCATGCGATGACTTCCTGGCAAACACTGTCTTTTAGGAATGCTAGGAATGAAGAAAAGAATTGATGGCAAAGTCCCATATCACCAGCAAACTACAGGGTGAACAGATACAGCTTTTCTCAAATCGCTGGGACTTTTGCCATTGACTTTGGTCAGACTTAATCATCATTAAAAGGTAGTTATTTCACCGTTAAAAGTAGTTAAAACCTTCACTTGCTTCCCGCACTAGTCTAAAATTCACTGAATAAATCTGTTTCATCGTTTTACAAAAACAGTGCAAAACAAAACCTGATGTAGACCTTCACTCATCTAAACTATAATTTAAAATATCTGTTTTGCTTGAAGAGTCTTCTAAACAGTCTGGAATGAAAGGAGCAAATCCTTCCCAACCTTTTTTTTTTTTTTTTTGGTGTTGTTCTTGGCCTCAGTAAAAGCTAATGCAAAGATTCACCCAAAGTTAATGTCACTTGTATGAGGTCATTGAGAAGTAGTTTCCACCACAAACACACACATAAGTAAATGGACACACAAACACATAGACACTTTTAAATAACTATAATTTCTTATTGTAGCTATGTAAATGGAAAGTACAAGGAAAGGGTGAGAGCCCTCTTGTCAGTTGTAGTTTCCTAGCTTAATTAGGTTACAAATGCACTTAAACTGAGTACTTGCATGTAATCCCTCAGACACACTATTAGACTTTAGGGTACAAGAATGAATCCAATGGTTGTGGTAGACACTTTATGATGATTACCTTCTTACTCTCTTAATGATCCAGCAGGCAAAACGGAAAACAAACAGCCCTCCCCTCTTTTTTTCTCCCCCCCCCCCCCCCAAAAAAAAAACCCCTACCAAAATGCAAAACACACCC